CCCCATTTGCCCCAGTTCTCCTCTCACCCTAAAAACCCGATGGAGACAATGCGGTCGCAGTTTTCCGTGTAATCCCATGATGAACCGATCGATTGGGGCTCTAACACTATACTGAACCCCTCACATTATCTTCATTCCTCATTGGCTCAAAAACTTTCAATTTCAATCGAATCTTATCCGCAATCTCAGCTATCAGGAGAGGTCGCTCCTTCCCAAATTTGTACCTCAGCATTTGTGAAATTCGCTTCGTTCTCTGACTAATTCATTGGCATTGACAGCGTGTGAATATTTCGCCATGTGACGTCAATGATTATCATCGGTAATGTCATTCGTTGCGATCCCTGTCCCTGTCTGTTGAGGGCAGTAATGGCCAAAATAAACTGTGATTCGGATCAGTTTTGGATGGATATGGGATTATCCAAGTGCTAATCAAAGAAAAGGCAGAGAAGCAGGTTTCTTGATTAAATAAAAACTAATCCCCAGAGCAGACAACACCTACAAAAAGCACATGTTTTCGCGGAGTGCCCCCACCATATGGCGCCCCTCTGCAATCATTTATTTGGGAACTATTTGTCATTTTTTTTGTACGTGATTTGGCCATTAGCAAGTCTTCAAAACAGACCAAAAACAAAGCACATCCCTAATGTAGCCCACAAATAATACAGTAGAAATTTGCCAGGGAGTGCGCATCGCAGTTGGGGGTTTGATTAGCGCCAAGATCCAACAAAATGATTGATTGATTGGCCAGGCGGCACTCGAGTTGAAGAACCCTTGAATTGGTAATGTTTTGACTTTGACTTTCGATTTTGGTAGCATTCAAAGTGCCATTGTACGCGGCGGCACTGGGCATCATAAATCAATTATGAACGAGCCACAGAGTTGCACAAATGAGAGTCATGCAACGTGTGGCCTCGGTTGCAATTAGCCAGATACAAAAGCTATGATAAAGAGTCACATATTGTATGATTCGTGCTCGGTACTGGGTAAAGCTCTATAGAAGGTCGGCAGACGGAGAGAGAGCGAGAGAGAGAGAGAGAGAGTGAAATAGGTCACTCGAAAAACATTGGAAAACCATTCAGACATTCCAAATTATACGAATATATATATCTGTATCTGTGTGTAAATATATTGCGCAGATTCTAGCCAGAATTGAGGCGTGACCGAACCACTCGAGGAGGGAGTAGGCGGGGCGGGGCGGGGTGCAATTAAAAAACAAAACGCAATTTCATCAGTGGACAAAAGTAAACAGCAAACAATCAGCGAGAATCCAACGCACTCCACCACAGCCCCAGATCAGATCAGATCAGATCAGAAACTGAAACTGAATCAGATTCGGAGTCGGAGTTGGATTCGGAGTCCAATCTGAGAGCCCAAAGTCAAACGTCAATGACAGTTGTTTGTCTGGTCTGGTCTGGGAGGTCTGGGCGGTCTGGGATCTCGGGGCGGGGGGGAATCTGTTTAGTGGGCTCTGAAATCTGGTTGGTTTGGTATCTGGCTGGGATATCGTACGAGTGTCATATCATATGTGAATATATGCATGTTTTAAGCACGATTCGGAGTTCGAGTGTGTGTTAATAGTTGTGCCTCAACCATAGTATATTTATTGAGAAAAAACAGCTGGGAAATCACGTGAGTCATGTGTTAAGCCATAGTTTACCTCACGGCGGAGACCATGATTGACGGGGACCATCAATTCGCACATTTTCGTGTAGTTTTCGGCTACCGCGACGGGGATTGTTCGAGATTGTTGTCACTTTCAATCAAAACTGAATATTTCACAGAATTCTAGTGGTTCACACACGCAAACGAGGCGTATGCGCAATATACGAGTACGCGTTTATCTGCCACTCGGGGCACGTGCTCGACACAGTTCTGGATCCTCTGCTTATCGTCTATTGAACTTTTCTTCTACGCAAATCTGGGATATCTCGAGTGGGAGGCTGAGATCTCTACCGTTGTCGATCCGCTCTGGAGTAACTCGTTTCGCGTTTCGCGCTTCACGTTTCACGTTTAAAAACCAAATGAATGCTGAATCACTTCAGTCGCTTTTACTGGCCCGTTCCACTCTCGAAAATTTACTCAAAACGTGACTCGAGAGTCGCTTCCACTCGCTGCTCTCTCGGTTGAGAGTTTGCACAGAGAAAAAGAGCGGAAAAGAGAGACAATGAAGAGAAGAGCCAAGCCAAGAGGAGGAGTGGCTCTGGCCCTGTCTCTGTGTGGAATAAAATATGGTAATAATAAATCTGGGCAAAGTGACAAATAGCTCGTGTAGAATTCCCATTCTCATTCTCTTGGCACTCTCTCGCCCCGCTAAAATGCACTCCCATTGTACGTTTCTATATGTCATTACCTGCACAGATAGATCGCGGTAATATCCAGCCGATAAATTATATAGGAAGTGTGTCAAAATGCTCACCAAATTTATTGGGGGGTATAAATAAGGGCTCAAAGTGGTAGATAGACCTATGAAATGTGTATTTATATGTGTGGAAAATTGTTAAAGCCGCTGTTTCAGTGTTATATTTATGTATCGTTTTATCAATTTATTTATCGATTTATCGAGCCAAAACAGAGAGAAATAAATATTCGAAAAATATATATTATTTCATGGAGAATTGTAGAAAAAAATGTATATGAAAAAGCCACCAACATTATTTTAAATTTGTATTCGAACAAATGATTTTTGTAGGACGTACAGCTAAAGATCTTTCCCAGACATTAGCCAGAATATAGATAGAACACCACCACAAAGACCCTAAACAATTCACATATTCTTTGAAAGCACTCTCAGACCTCTCCAAATTATACGTATATTCAAATGGAAGATTATCAATTTTTGCCCGATAAGGTAGCGAAAATCGTTTAAGTTCTATATGGCGGCCATTTGGCAACCAATAAATACATATTTTACGACATCTTTAGGTCGTAAAATAATAAACTGTGTGTCGTTCGGGTCTTGATTTGTAGGATTATACGACAAGAGGAAAATGCATAAATCTCAGGAGTGATTCCCCCTCCCAATTAACACCGTCACGATTAAAACCAGTGCCATTCCAATTTAAGAATAGAAACAAGATTCGGCATTTGTTTTTCTTCTCACCGAACTTCCGATAAGATACCAAAGAAAGCGAGGCGCCTTTTTTTTTATCAATTAGCAATTAATTTAGAGCACTTAATAATTGACTGGCAGGCAGGAGATTCTCGGTTTTGATCGAGAGATTTGCATTGAATTCAAAACGGGGCCATCGAAACTTGCGAAGGTGAGGCAACTGTCCTTGATGGAATGATGAGGCGGGTATATGTACATATCTCTATTGATAGACACACTATTTTGGAGCTGCACTCGAGTGGGAGCCGCGTACTTTGTTTGTGGCTTGTGGCACGGCGGCGGCAAACATGTTCCGCAACGGTTCTGCGTCAACTGGTTCCCGAACGCGGCTCAAGCGAAGTCGAGTCGGAGTCGGAGGTCTGGTCCGGGCCCAAAAAGTTTAAAAGTAAACAGCAGAAAGTCAAAACGAAACAACCGGCCCCGAAGCGATGCAAAGAGCAAACACGAAAAACACACGGAAAAAGGGGGAAAAAAAGTAAAAAATCTGTAAAAGATATTCCGACTGTGGGATACCCCGCTAGATATCTTATTCCGGTTGAAAAACTTAGCCGATTTCGATGATTTTGGGTAAATAGGTGGTTTAGATCTATATTAACAGCTCTACCGAATGTGCTAATTGTGGATGTCACATATTTTTGTGGGCGCCAAAAAGGGCACCTAAGAAGTTCTAGAAATTTGCTTAGTTCTCCACGAATAGGGGGTATAAAAAGGTAAAGAAGAAGCAGGTAAGTGGCGAAAGAAGGCCCAAAGAGGAAGCGAAGGAGAGTCAAAGAACCGGCAAGCTATAAAACCGCTTACCCCGCAAAAACGAGTCTTAAAACCTGCAACTTTTTTTGTAACTCGATAGCTCGCCCCTCGGGGCTGACTGCGAAAGAGACAACAGACCAGAGAGCAACAAAAGTCAGGCAAAAGAATGAGAAACCATTATTGCTCCATTGTATGCGGGTTAAGCATTACTTTAGCGACTCTTTCCATGCGAAAAGATACCAGAAAGAGGGCTTGGTACTGGTAATTAAGTTATGGAAGGCATGGGAAAAGGCGTGAAGCCAAAGCAAAGAAGAACACACGGAGCATATCATCAGTCTTCCAAACAGGCGTTCTTTGAAGACTCTTCTTATCCAGGGTTCATCCTCTAAAGCACCTCATGCGCAATACGTTGGCGTTGGTGTACTCTTCAAGAAGGTATCATGTACTCTCGATTGCACAATAAGTGCAGTCCCCAACCGTTCACAAATTCAATAGAATTGAACGCTTTTACGCCTTCCCAAACAAACGCACCAAAAGTGCTACCAATCATTCAATAATTGGCAATGAGACGGGCCAAATGCTAAACAGTGGGCAACACTGGTCACACATGACAGAGAGTATGCACCTCATGCGTAATGCGTTGGCGTTGGTATACCCTTCAAGAAGGTATCATGTATTTTCGATTGCACAATAAGTGCAGTCCCCAACCGTTCACAAATTCAATAGAATTGAACGCTTTTACGCCTTCCCAAGCAAACGCACCAAAAGTGCTACCCATCATTCAATAATTGGCAATGAGGCGGGCAAAATGCTAAACAGTGGGCAACACTGGTCACGCATGACAGAGAGTCATGCACCTCATGCGCAATACGTTGGCGTTGGTATACCCTTCAAGAAGGTATCTTGTATTTTCGATTGCACAATAAGTGCAGTCCCCAACCGTTCACAAATTCAATAGAATTGAACGCTTTTACGCCTTCCCAAAACAAACGCACCAAAAGTGCTACCAATCATTCAATAATTGGCAATGAGGCGGGCAAAATGCTAAACAGTGGGCAACACTGGTCACGCATGACAGAGAGATATCGATATGATTATGTTGTCAAACTTCTGATGTCACACATAGAGATGCCAGAAGGCTTAGTGAAAAAGGTTACGAATTAGAAGAAAATTTGTGGAAAACATAATAAAATATTAAATCAGTCCAAAGGAAAAACCAAGGTGTTCGGTGTAACAACCATCAATAAGTTTGCAGCTCGTTGGAAAAAAAGGTTTGAATAAGTAGTACAAATTGTGCAGAATCTAAAAGGGCTTTAGTTTCTGCAGCTCTCCGAGATGGCCTTAGTTGCTGTGTCGGTGTCGGACGGCGCTTTCCAATGCGACCACGCGAACATCACCAGGACAATTTTAGATGGAAGAGCCAAGCTGCTCTTAATCGCCAGCTCGACTCCCACCTGGATGAGCGACGAACTTACAATCTACGCAGAAATGATGCGCTGCCCCCTTTTGCGCTACGACCACAGTGAGATCAAGATTGCCACTGGCAACGGCAGCACGCTCTACGCCCGTTGCATTGTCTTCACTGATGCCCAGGCTGCCTCCGATATACTTTCGATGGTACCTGAATAAAAAAATTCATTCGCTAGACATGTATATGACAATGTTTTGTGTGTGTCTGTGTGTTGTGCCACTTCGGCCAGTCATTCTTTGAGTAATCCCTCGGTAGCATATACGAACTTTCGCATTAACGGAGGACTTTGAAGACTGAAAGCACCTAAATATGACGCACAGATTCTGCGTTTCTGTGGTTTTGCGAGAAATTTCGAGAAACGTAAAGCAGTGAGGCCAAGTTGCATGCAGGTTAAACAGCTGACGGATTCTAACCTAGAAAATTGTAATTGTCTCATTGTTTGATTTATCTCTTTATGTAGGAACCACTACAACAGGGAATCTATTGCGGTGGCTGCCACATGGAAAGAGTATGCAATGCTTCGGCCCCAACGGCTGAAGCGCCTTCTGTTTCTGCTGCTGTCTTTTCTGTGGCTATTTTGCTCTGCTGCAACGCATTCTGCTTTGGTATGAAGAGGAAGCGACAGGCTGAAGCCCTGTGCTCTCCTCTCTGCTCTCTTCTGCAGCCGAAAAAAAAGAGACAGCAAGTGCGTTCTCCTTCCCATTCCGGCTAATGCCTGCTGCCAGGCAATCAGCTGTCTCCAAGGGTCTGTCTGCGGTCGGGCTTCAGCTACGCGTGCGCGTAAGAGGCAGGGGAGTCGTCCCCAAATTGACGGATGTGGGAGCAATGATGTGAAGCCAAAGCAAAGTTTTGGAAGAACACGCACATGAGGCAGAGTATATCAACACCATTCCATTCGTAGTCACCTATCTTCGACCCTAAATCGTTCTTTGTGTTGGGGTTGTCGTAGGGCTTAGATTAGTTGAGATAGGTCTTCCTCCATTATAATCTTATCATTTTATAGGCTCTAAAGTTCCCATGACTACCTCCTAAAGCTCTTTTTTGAATCTTAAGTTGTTGAACCTATTTTTATCCAGAGTAAAGCCTCTGTTCTTTAGATATTTCCTGTTTTGTCCACCGATTTCTTATCACTAAATAAGAATTTGCAATCATTTGCTGGCGTACATATATTTTTTGTTCTGTATGTTTGAATTTACTTATCATTGTTATTGCTGTGATTGCTATTGCTATTTCTATTGTTGTTCAAATGCATTAGGAGAATGGAGAGCGTGAAGTAGGGCCGTGCCGCCTGTTGTTGAGGTGCGCAATTTCTATATATTTTTTGTGTTGTGTTGTTTACGGATATTTCTTGCATCACACTTTGTATCTGCTATTGTTGTTCATCTGTCTATGTCTATCTGTATTTCTATGCAAATATTTAATTAGTTGCAAGTCTGTCGTCTCCAGGGCAACTTGGTTTAGTCGGGGAGGTCAGGCCATACTGTTTGCCATGGCTAAACAGTGTGTTTCTTTAGCCATATTTCTAGAGAATTATCTAATGGGGCTTACTAAACGAACGAGTACTGGAGTATCCGCCGACTAACCCCGGGCAGAGCATTGACCCTTGGCACTTACTGACATTCGAGATCGAGACAGTTGACACGTCGAGACGAATGGGGTTCGTCTCAGGTCTCCGGTCTCAGATCTGAGGTATTCTCCCTCTGGTACGAGTATAATGATGATTTCGTAATACCTTTTTGTGCTACGAGTAGTCGCAAATCAGTTCAAGCCATTAACTTGGGTATGAAGAGGCAAAATCAAGTCGTTTGTAATAGTTAAAACGTGTGCGATAATAATTCCCCATTATAGATGTATTTTCTAGCTACAACTATCCACGTGTTCTCCAACAGCAACAACAGACGAGTGTTTGTACACTACTTAACACAACACCAAAGATAAGAGAGGTCTCTATATGAGAGAAAATCTCACGGTAATGCCCAAACTTTCCCGCACTCTCCAACACTCACCGTTTCATGCATTTCCCCGCTCTCATCGAGCAGTGCCTCCAGACTCTGATCATCTTTGGTCGGCGAGAGGGGCGGCGTGGGCGCACGGTTCTTGTTTGCCAGCAGAGAGCGCGGCAGCAGATGCCGCCCATAGTGCAGGTACAGGTAGCGGCCCCACTTTCGACCGGCCAGGCCGCACACGGCGGCCACAGCGAAGAGTACGACCACAAACCACATGTTGCTGAGAGGCAGCAAAAAACACACACACACAAAGCGATAACAACACAGCAAACAAGCAACGGTAGTTAGGCAAAAGCTCAAGCCTGTCCAACTTTTTTGGCTAGCAGTGTAGTGTGAGAGCTTTCCCGCTCAGCAGCATTGTGTGTGCTTTGGCTCTCGCGCTGCTCGGCGCTCTTTCTATCTCTTTCTGTTCCACTCCACAGCTGGTTGTTGGGGTCTTGTGACCCACGAGATTTGTGCTTGGCTTTTTCTCTGTTCTTTTGTGTGTGTTGTGTGTTTGCCGTTTTGTGCTTCTGTTGTTGCCACAAGTTTTATCACGCTCTCTGCTTTGGTGCGCTTTTCCAATACGAGCACTATATAGATTTTTCTCTATAGGTTTTCCTTTTGTTTTTTGACACATAAACAAACCGTCAACACTGCTTCGATGGTCTGCACTGCTGCCGTCACTCTCTCTATTTCTTTCAAATCTTTTCTAATATTTTCTGTAAAAGCTGCAGCGTTTATCGAACTTTTTGCCACTGCGCTGCTATTTTCAAACAAGTCGCTCGAGCGACTGGCATGACGAAACGGACCATAGAATCGAACAGCGCGCACGAAAAAGAAGTTGCCGAGAGAGAGGTAGAGAGAGAGAGAGAGAGAGAGACCGCAAGAGAGACTCACACTCCCTGTGTGTTATTCGCCCACCTCTCTTTGGCACTCACTCTCTCAGCTAAGCTTTTCTGGTGGGGACCGGACGCTCTCTTTGAATCAAGTTTGGAGCTCGCGCAACTTCTTTCGCCTTTCGGCAGACAACAGGTTTGTTGGCAACATGCTGCCCCGCAACAATGCTGATGGAGCTAAAATGTTCTGCATGTTGCGTATACGTAATTTTTATTTTTATGCGATAATTGATTTTCAATTGAAGCAATCTTCACTTGCGAGTATTTCCAGCCCAAACGACAAGCAGCTCACGTGCCAAAAATAAAAACAGATGGGGGTCTGTTTTTGGTTGCATCTGCGTTGGGCCAAGGTTTTAGCCAAAATTTTTGGTTTAATTTGGCGCAAACTGGTTTCTCTGCTTCTCTGCTCTTCTGCAACCAAAATAAAACCAAAGTATTTATCATAACGGCGCCACCACCACCTGACGATGACCACAGCTAAGCCGCATTTGTGGGCGTGTTAAATTCCAGCGACAAACACCAACAAAACTCTACTCTACTTGCAATTTGTATTCCGTTTAGATACGCACTGAAACTGGTTAAAATATGTTTTTCCCACCGAGTAAACAAGCCTCTAAATCGCAGTATTTGGAGTAGGACACATGACATCTGAGAAATGACTCTTGTTTGTGGCAATTGGAACCGGAATCGGGCCTCAAAACTCTGCTCCACTTTGAAATGCATGCATTTACGAGTACATTTCAGAAATCAATCAAATGCGAACCGGTTATGAAACGGATAACTCTCCGTCAGTCGACCAGTCGACTTGTTTCTTTGTTTCCAGCTACGAGATCATCTCAATTAGATCCGACCCGAACCCCGATCTATCAGTGAGGTGGGTTACATCACCTAAGAGAGAATTTATTATGGGGCTTAGAAGGAATCTTCTACAATCCCAAGTTCGTGGTGTTCCAGTATTCCCCTTTATATGTTTTCTATAGTAATATTCCATCTCCCATCTATTTTTTCTGGTATTTTGACTACCCTTTAATCACAATCCAGGTCTTTGAGACAACCCCTCTACAAACCAACGGAAGGCTGGCACATAATTCAATGAAATTTCCTCTGCACGCAATTATATTTCAGTTTTTTTATTTTTTTCGCGACCCCAATTTCAACTATGAAATGATCACGTGTCTGCAGCTGGGGATGTCTTTATAGGTATTCGCATATACGATATTATTGTATGTTTAACTTTTGATTTGTTTTTTGTTTATGTGTGCACGATGTGTGGCCGGTCAGTCGCCCGTAGATACACATGTATCTGTATCTTTCTGGACAGTAGCCAGGCACTCGTACGAATAGTGTTTAACGGGGGTATTGTATTACCGAAAACATGTTTGCAACAATTGCTGGTAGCTGCAATAGGCAGGCTGAGGTGTGATGGAGGGTCTACGACGTAAAAGTCTATGAAAAACATTCGTACACCTAGGTGGAAAATTGGATTATCTTTTAGCTAGAGTGAAGAAAGTGTGAAATGGAACAGAATGTATGGATATTATTTTAGGAATATTATATTCTCAATCACGCACATGGCGGGCAGCTTGTTTCCGTCTAAAAGAACACCTTTTTAATTGATTCCACCTGATCTCTCACACCAAAGCACACTCTCTCTCTCTCTCTCTCTCTCTCACTCTTTAAGCCACACCTCGAACAAATTAAATACGATATGGTACCTATATATATGTATATATATAGTACATATAGTATGTAGTGTGCATAATGGCAGTCAACCATTTGAAATTCGAACCGAAGCCGGATCCACAAAGCGCATACACAACACAACACAACACAATAAAACAAAATCTCTTCACATTTGGCTGACTTCTTGCCCGAATCCGAAACCGAATCCCCATTCATCGTTCATTATACCCATCCCATTGAATTCCCCTTTTTTTAGGGGTTGCATTATCAATTTAATTACAGTTGAATTTCAGTCAAAACAAAAATAATTAAAGAGAGGTGGCGCACCGCCCCTCGAAAGGTGAATGAAATGTCAAATGTGCGGCACTCAAGATCTCCAAAAAGGTTCAGAGTGGAAGAGTCAAGAGTCTAGAGGAGAGAGGATATTCTAGATCGTAAAATATATAATAATGGAATTGGAAAGACTTTAGCGAGGGAATGTCTGTGTCTTGCACACCCTTGATTTCTCTACTTTTCAATCAGATTTCTCCCAAAAGATGCCACACACTTGACTTGATTGAGAGTGAAAGATAAGAGGAGACGTGGAATAAGTGATTGAATAGATGGGAAAGATCTGCGAGAGGGCCTGACTGATAACTGGGTTATGTGTGCCACAAGGGCACAAAGAAGACAAACACTCAAAAGATCTATGGAAATATTCACAGAGTGGAGACAATCGAGCGGTAAAGTTTTCTATTGATTTACATTTAGATTTATTTCCCTTATAAGAAGTATAGAAACAGTTCTACCTTGAGCTAAATTCAAGAAAATGATTCAGAGCCCAAGAAATCATTGCCAAGAGTCAGAAAACGTTACCAGGTTCTGTACTTAAAGTGATTGCTCGGCAAGTAACAATTTAAGCAATTTAAGCCATTTTACTAAGCATTTAAATGTATTGCTATAGGTATATATATTATATTATTCGCAAGGGAAATTACTCGTATCGTATAAGCACGCACAGAAGCGAAAGGATCGTAATGAGTTCTTTATAGACAACACTTAAGTTAAGAACATTAGTTCCATTCCATTTTGATCTTGGGCAACAAGCTGTAATCAACACCCTGTAGAGGATCACATATAGAGGATCTATCTACCATCTTAAAGACCCAATCCGAAAGGGAGTCTAAATATATATTTATGGAAACCATTTCATATCCATTTTTATCTGAAAAACATTTACACGATCATTATCGTCATCATTGGTGCTGGACATTTCGGGGCAGTAGCCGAAATTCCAATGCGATCGTCTGCGGCGGAGACGGACCCTTTATAAGGTGCGCGCTGTCCGACTGTTTATGGCCAAGGCATTGAATACTTTTTGGCTTTCGGGCTGGGACGCGGTCGGCTTACAAAATGCGATGCATTTTGAAATTCAAATTTATTTAATCTTGATATGTATTTCTTGTGCACTTTCGTAAGACTTTCACCCCGAACAGAAATTGGGAGGAGACTAATAGATTTTTGTGGTCTGTACTTTGT